CCCCCCCCCCAAAAAAAAAAAGCGCCAAGCTGTTACCAAGAGGATGGCCGTCGGTTCTATAGCGTTTCCTACGACAAAAACATCCAGTCCTGGCCTCAGCTTGTGCTTATCACTGGAGACGAATCGACCTTCGAGATGAGGTACTGGGACACTGAAACTGGCCAAATCATTTCCACCTTCACCAACAAGAAAACACCGTTTTGTGTGCCAGCCTCGGGCCAGGCCCCAGGCTGTTTGCTGACACCCTGGAAAAACCTTTCCCTCCTTTCCGAGGTATCTGTTCACCCAGACCCTTCCCAGCAGAACGTCATTGTCACGGGATGCTCCAACAAAAAGGCTCGGCGTACTGTTTGCTTGGGCAGACGCGATGGTTGCAGAGACGGGCAGGCGGTGCAGTGGGACTCCAACACCTGCACAATTGTGCAGGACAGCTTTGGACTGCTGTGCTCTACGTGTTGTCTTTCCACTGAACGGCGGCTGTGTGGGAGGAGTACGATGAACACATGGGCGCTGTCAACACGGCGACAATCTGTGAAGATGGAAAGCGCAGACACCTCAGCTGTCGTAGACGCTAAGCTGCCACGAAGACAGCAAACCTCGGCCGCTAATGTCCTGTCAGGATTGCTCACCTCTTCAGATGACAAGAAGCCACTGTCTGAGCAACGTACTGCCGACTTTACGACGTTACGATGCAACAGTGCAACAGCATGCTTTTGCAGTCGAGCTGTTTGACAGGATGTTCCTCTGGGAATTCGGCATTCCGGTCGTCGTCAAGCACATAGTGAGCGGCTGAACACAGAAGCATAGAGAGACTGCATGATTAGCGAATGAGACACAAGTTTCGTGCCAGCTTGATCGTAGTTTTACAGCTCGCCGTGCCAAGCCGTGATGTGAGGCCGAGCCGACCATGCACTCAATCCCTCAGGCATGCACTTCGATTTAGTGCGGAAGCATTTCGCAGAGTCTTGGCAACACGTAGTCCATACCACTATATAACCCTGGATGCAGATCGTCCTCAGCCCGGACGAAAAGTACTTGATAGGGCAATCCATGGACAACAAGATCATAGCTTACGAGGCTTGTGACTTGTGTGTGTGTGTGTGTCTCTCCCTTCTTCTGTCTTTAAGGATACCCAGAATGTTGCTGTCTCAACCAGGCGTTCGGACGCTTCAAGTTCATAGCACGGAAAACGTTCAAGGCCTGGCTCGGCTCCATTGGATGCCATCGGCATGCCTTGGCTGGGCTACGGTGGTTAGCCCTCCGTCTTTGAATGACCGGCAGGGCCACCTCAACTCTGGCTATGCCATCACGCCGGGGTCCCAACTGAGTGGCCCACATCTTCTAGGCATTTCGTTTCCGTCGTCCGTCCGATCGGCCAATCACGTTCTGCGGCCCAGCGTTTCGTCTCTCGGTCCATCCATGCACGACATGCGTCTGCAGTCAGTGACGATCATGATGGCAGCTTTACCACGATGACAGTCATTGGTGAGCATGACCATCATGGCGATGATGCTGAAGCTCATGCTTGTTGGTGGCAGTGGTTGCACTGCTGACCAGATGATGGTGGTGTAAGCCACACCAAAGTGAAGGGTCCCAGGCGTTGAAGTCGACGACATAGCAGCAGTCCCTGAAGTCGCCAAGTGGCCTCATGCACAGAGAAGCAATTGTGCTCTCTTACCGGACAAGCACAGGTGGCGAAATGCACTCATGCAGCTCTGCATAATTATGCAGATATCGTCTTATCATCAGTACAATGTGTAAGAGGGGTCGCCACCCAAAAAAGTCCAACCACTCGTGAGTTTTAGGCAGCATCGTCCAGGAGGTAAGCCACACGCCACCTCCAAAGCAAGCCAGACCCAAGTATGCGGGGTGTCCTCTGGTTCTCTTATGTTTCTCGAGCTCCCCGGTCCAGCTGCATAAGAGAGGCAAGAAGCAAGGCCACAAGGGCAGGGAGACAGCAAGAGAGACAAGGAAAGAGTGAAGAATGAAAACAACCCAAGCCAATGGCAGGCCAAGTTGATCCAAATAGTTGGCTGGCAAGCGCCACAAAGTCACGACGTTAAAGAAATATTCACTGTCATAGTGTATCATTGTCACGATGCTGAGCCTGAGCCCCGGCAGCACATGGTCTGGGAAGGGGAGAAGCCATTTCTCTCAACCGGAATCGGACAATGTGCTTGGAAAGAAAAGGATACCTCTGGTGGGAAGCCCGAAATCTGAAAACCCTAGAGGGAGATGTTGGACAATTCCATTCGGCTTAAGTCCCCGCCCGCCACCACTGAGCCGAAGGGATTCATGAATTGGAGTGAAACCGTAAGTTAAAATTCACCACAAACACACGCAATCCAGTCAGAACGCGAAACGCCGGACGCCGGCCGGTGCCGGACATGCTACATCGGACCACGCGCTGAGCCTCAGGCCAGGTTGGTCAGCAGATGGCAAGTGGGTCATGTCTGGAGATGCGGATGGCAAGCTGTGGTCAGCATCTGAGACTCTGCATCGTGTCGGCAATGCACTGTCTCCGTTGTTGCATCAGGTTCTGGGACTGGGGCAAGTGCAAGAACTATCGTGTTCTCAAAGCTCATGACGGAGTCTGCACTGGCTGCCTCTGGTACCGATCTCAGACGAATCTTCATCCCACATTCCGTGATAGATTGCCCCTGTCCAAGTCTTCAGCCGTAGTTTTTCGTTCTTTTCTCACAGCCCTGTGCTAAAGCCGTGTGAGGAAAAATTAGTCAGCCACTAGGAAGACGCCTGTCTAGCTTTGTCTAATTATCCTTTGAAGCGCAGCAGACACCCATGACCTGGACAGCTGTCGGCTGTTTGAAGCCACGTTTGGAGGTGGCATTCGTAGTACAATCATAGGTGTGAGGTATGCCTACGATTATCAGCATGCCGCCACACCCTATCGCACACCACATGGGGAGTCTGAGACATGATATTGAAGTTCATGTTCTGTCGCACCACGGAGCCAAGGCACCCCATACAGTCTGAAGCCCAGCTGACCAACTCTTGCGATTCGTGCTTGTCGACAGGTCGCCTGCAATAGGTCCGAAGTAGGGTGTGTGGCAGAAGCACATCCTTTGCTCTACTGCGTTTGAGGACTTCACGCGTCGTTTCTTGCGGCTGGGACGGTGCCATAAAGCTTTGGGATTGAGCCACAAGAGCGTCTGCCAAGCTAATATTCTCCGATCCACGGAAGCTTTTGACAATGCGCCCGATCAAGAAAAGGCAGCCCTCGCCAGTAAACAAGGCGCCGACATGTTCGCAACAGTCGTAGCCTCCTTATATAGGAGCACCTTGGCCCAGTTGACAGGAGTCCTGGCTTCTCACCAGAGACACCTCTCGTGGTGCGCTCTCTGGAACTTTGCTGGTGGGTTGGAGCGGTCTCCTTTCATGCTTCGGTATTTGCCTCCCTCCCAGCCCCGCGTGCAAAGAAAGAGGCCCAAGTTCTGGCAAAAGCCACAGCTAAACCGTGGCCAGTAACCTGAGAGTCCATGCCACGTTTTGACACCCACATTTCCTTTCATCTTCAGACGGAGACCCTGCTGTTAGAGAATGCCCCTGGATCCATGAATGCCGTTGTGTCAGGCCCTTACAGCGGATCTTGATGGTTCAACGTCACGCCATGTCTCCTGAGCCAAGGACGGGCAACCAAGATGACGAGGATCAATCGGGCAATCCGACAGCGCGGATCGGGCGCGCAGACTCGAGCGTACTCGGTTGTCGAGGTGAGGGTGTCAGCCTGGAAAGGTACAGTGGCCGCACTGAGAAGATGCACCGCTTCCTTGCCAGGGAGCCTGTGTTTGTTGTCATGTTGCGAGAAGGCTTTTCAGAGCTGGTGCCTCGTTCCGCAGAACGTAGACCACGCATGTCAACAGCTAGCGACCGAGACCAGGAGTTCCGAGACGCCGGCAAACCGGACCTTTCCTACGAGGACCTTTGCAGGCTCGCACCTGGAGGAAGGCAACACGTTGAATCGCTGATTGCCTGGCAGATCTCAAACTCAAGGGCGCAGAGAACTCATTGCTGGATGCTTCTTCGAGCTCTTGGCCTGGACCTTGACTGTGCGGATGCTGGCTACTTCCACTGCACACTCTGATGTGCACAGCTTTCTTTTGGTTGGGCATTCAAAATCACAGCATTGTTGGTAACCTGACTTCGGTAGCAAGCGCTCGCCGTCCGGGCGAGGTGCTGAAAACCAATGGAGTGATCAACGTGGAGCAGGATCTTCAAACAGTTTACGGTTCCGCAAAACTGACATGATCTTCTGTCCTTTTGCCAGGATGACCCGCTGTCTGACATCAAGATTGCAAAGGCTTGTTCTGCTCTACTTGCTTGTCTTGCAGCAAGCGATCATGGCCAAGTCTCAAGTGCAGGCCGCACAGTGGGCAAAGTGAGCCGCGCCGATGTTGTGACATCTGTGCGAGACAAGCCCTTAAGTGTCACCACTCTGCGCGTGCACATCACATGCATTTCCGACGGGCCGAACCACACGGCATCGCGGTCACGACGGCCGAGGGACTCATCAATACTAAACGCTCCTGCACTGATGACATAGCTCAGTGTAGTTCTGTTGTCTTTCTCTGGTCGGCATTGAGGAAATTGAGGATCCGGTCGCATCAACGAAGTTGGTGGGGAGCCGCTCTCGTGACGTTAGGGATCCTTTGCCCCAGAGCCCTCGCTGCAAGGCGCGAGGTTCAAATCCTAGGTCGAGCATGTATCCCTGCATTGTAATCTTGTCTTGTCTTGCCTTTCCCTACTGCCTACAGCAAGCCGCTAGTTAAATGAAACTGCCGCGGCTGTATTCCAAGCGCAATTTTGTTGCTATGCTTGCAGCTCGGCAGCGCCAGAGCCTGAGGAAGGGCGTAATCATAATCAATGCGATCAGCAGAGCACCAGAGCCTGAGCCGCTGTTTGGACAGGCCTGAGTGGGCGACCACTGCCCTCATGGCATCTTGGAAGCACTGCGTTGGCTTAGTGGCACAAAAAACGGTGTCCCAAGTCGTGCAAAGCCAAGGACTGGAAAGGGGATGAGGCACTTTTGACCCAGAGCTGCGCTTCTCTTCGCAGTGCCTTTTAACACTCGCAGGCGAGACTGGGCCAGCTATGTCAGCTCTTCCAGCCCTCCGCTTGGGAGAATAAAAAGGGTTCGCGGTGAGCCGAGCATACCGACACTTGGCGCGGCCCTATCCGCTTAAGGCTGGCATCATCTCCGGACAACAGCATCCAGCAGCAGGTCAAGTTGTCCATTTCCGCACTGCTGCGACCACGAGCGAGCATAAACTCGTTTGTGAAGGTGATGCAGATGCTGTCGCAGTTTAGCCAGCTTCCAGATTTCGATATGCGTATCTCTCAGATCAGAGATCAGCAGATTCACTGCTGTTCCCGTGTACATTCGACAATGCCGCGCTGAACGCCTCGGCGTCGATGACAGGGTCGTAGATCATACCGAATCATACCGCTGAGCTTGCAGTTCAAGAGCTGAGGTACTTGGCAACAGTTTTTGCCAAGCTGACTTCCCAAGACGAGGCCCTGTAGTGTTTTAGTGTTTTAGCCGCCACGGTTGTTCAGTGTGATTGCCGTTCAGGTCGTTCGACAGCGAGCGGGACTGCTGCTGAAAACGAACCTTGGGAGGGCTCAACCTGGAACGTCCGCACCTGAAAAATGTGTCAACAGTCCATCCAGGTCAAACATGACCAGAGGTGCAGTGCTGACTTAGGCTACAGCCAGCTATCGCGGAGTATGTTCAGGATGTCCTGCGAGCTATGGTAAGCCCTTTCATTCCCTGTGCCCGCCAGGCTCATACCTTGTCTGCCGTGAGCGACAGCAGCAAGGCTAGAGCTGTCGAAAGAGCATTTGCACTCCCTGTCTTAGGGAAGCTATCTGCCTGAAGGTCATCAGACACACAGCTGGCACAGTGCTTTCCTTAAGCAATGTGGCGAGTTTGCATGGTACCTGCAGCCGTTGTGCTTCTGCACAGGTCATCTCCATTCTTGTCCTGAAGGTCGGTTTTGTAGGCAGCCGACAGGCGACTGTGGGGTGTCAGCGCGTTGTGTTAGCAGTCGTGTCCACGTCAAGTGGGAACTTCCAGAGTCTAGAGGGGCTTTGCAGCCGATGCTTGCGCAGACTTTGGACAAACTGGCGACCTGCCTCGCTGATCAGAATCCTCATATAGTGGAGGCACTGCCACAATCCCCTTGTAAGTTGCCCACTTCACCAAATAGGGCCGTGCTGTGTCTTGTCCTGACAAGGGCAGTTTCAATGCTCTGAACAAGATCTGCGAAGACCGGGCCCAAGATGAGTTTCTCGCTTCCACACGATGCGCTTTGAGATGCAAGGATGGCATGATGCTTATCAAGCAGTCCGGATGCCAAGCTTTGGCGGTGACGATCCCAATTTGTGTCTCTGTGCTGGTGGTGTTTCATAAGGATGTGGGACTATCCTGATGAGCAGACGCAGCACTTTGTTCGCTGCATCCTGAGACCTTTGTACTCGGACCCCTATGGCATTGATACAATATCGCAGGTTGGTCTGCCGAGAACCTTCTGCCCAAAGTGATGCAGTGCCCATCTTCCGTTAATCCGTGTTGTGCACCTTGCTTTCTGTTGTTGCTGTTATTCTAGCTGTCATCCCCTTGGAGCTGTTAGAGCCGAGCTTTCATTCGTTGCTCCTTCATCTTGGCTCATGAGTATATACATGTTTCACACAGGCTGCGGTTGCTAATGATTCTTAGGCATCGGGACAGCATGCAGTGCAATCCAACTCAGCTGCACTGAAGAGCAATATTGTAAATGAAATGAGTTGCCAATCTCCATGGCATCATGTGGATTGGACGATGATGTAACGATGAGTTTACAGGCCTTTGCGTTTTGCATGTTTCTTGTGTCTGTGCGCCTCATGCCAGCTTGTCTGCTTTTTCACATATCTAGCATTCCAATCGCACGCAAACGAGCCAGGATGAAACCCGCCTCTCCTGCGCTTTCCAGAGCAAGGCAGCTCCCGAGATCTGAGAGCTTGTTCGGTGGGGTCTTGGCCGGTCAGTAGAGTGGGACACGGCTGTCACGGATCTCGAGATGACCCTCAGAGCCGAGGCGGTAGGCGTGTCTGTCACCGCAACCCCTAGGCCTCCGGAGGGCCCGAACTGACACGAGTATCATCGGAGCATTATGTTGCCTGCCGTGACTGCCGTGATGCTATTCACATGCTACCTGCTACCTTGGGCCTGCGTCCATTCTTGGGACACGAAGCGAGCCCCCATCGCCATTCCATCCCTGCTTGTATAGTACGGTGCCACCGGGAGCAATGCAGGTCTGGTTTGCATTCTTCAGGACTCTGTCTCGTGTTGCATCAAAGTCGGCAGTGTTGCAGGACAGGTCCTGGTGATGAGGTGGCGCAGTTGCACACTGGGCTGCAAGTGGATAGGTTCGCGTTTCGAGGTTCGGCTAGAGCACGATCCAGCTCTAGCAGTGAACGCAATAGAAAGCCGCTGGAAAAATCGAAAAGGTCAAAACGAACTTGACGGTCATTTCTGCTCGTCAGTCCGTACCGCTCAAAGGGGCAAATTAAGAGCATGCAGGGGTTAGCTTCCCCTTTTCTTCACCAACACCCGAAAGCCAGAAAATCACGAAAACTAGCTCTTCAGGATAAAGGCATGCTGCATGGGGTCTTACTACTATTGCTACCGCTGCTACTGCTACTCCTGCTACTGCTGCTACTGCTGCTGCTGCTGCTGCTGCTACTACTACTACTACTACTACTGCTACTACTAGTAGCACTAGCGCACTGTACTAGAAATACTCCCAAGCACGCGGAGGGGGCCCTCCGTAGAGCGCCTCCGCGAGCTGCTGCTGCTCCTAGTTGCGGGGGTGTGCACCGAAAAAAGAGCCCCCGTACGCAGCCCTAAGGCTTTCGCAGCCCCTCTCAACACTGCAAATGACGACGTAGATCTTGCGATCGGGGGGCAGCGCTCGCCCAATGCTCGAAACGCCTTCCCAGAAGTCGTTGTGCTCAAGTCGACGTCGGTTTGCCTTCGTTCCGCTGAGGCGAAGGGCCGAAGTGCCCAAAAGGGCACTGAGGCAAGAGTGCGACCCATGGCTAGTTTTGGTCCGCGCCTGCGAGCCCCAGGACAGCGGAGTCGTTCAACGAGCGAGCTCCGCCCCTTTGGCCACGACCTCAGACATGGACAACGGCGATGTTCCTGACTGCGTAAGACTTGCGATCTGACCTTCTGCCTGGGAGTCCACCAGAGGTTGGTCGGATCAGGTCCGGGAAAGGCGTTTGTGCTGAAGTTAACATTGAGCTTTGTGCCGCGCAGAAACCAACTCCGGTTGGCTGGAGATTCTGGAGAGAGCGAGTGCGATTAAGCAAAGCGAAGCGAGAGTGATTCATCGGCAGGCCGAGGATGATGATGATGCCTGCAGTAGTGCGGACAGTGTGCGCAGCGTTCACATCTCAGTCAAGATTTTTGCCGTGTGTGCAGTTGGAAAGTCCTTGGTCTCGCAGTGTGGGAACATGCTTTCTCCATGCACGCTGTCGGACTTGCTCGGGTAAGGGGGGAGACGTGTCAGCAGCGAGAAGAGGGGCAGAATCCGATTGCAAGCGCATTCACGGTACGAAGCAAAACCAACCAGGAAGGACAGAAAAACGATCGAAGACAGCACAGTAGAACGTGAGGACAGGGACCCGAAAGGCACTACTGCTGGCGGCTGCTGCTCCTCCTCCTCCTCCTCCTACTACTACTACTACTACTACTGCTACTACTACTACTACTACTACTACGACTATTACGACGACTACGACGACTACTACTACTACTACGACGACGACGACGACGATGACAACGACGACTGATCATTTGACGATTACTTTCGCCAAACGATCAAAGACCACGGGGACACCGCAAAGAACAAAGCTGCACAGGCAAAACCAACACCGTGAATAGAATGGTTCCGAAACTCGACTCGTTGGTAGGCTAGGCATACTGGCATGTTGGAGGAAGCCGGCAAGAGGCATTTCCCCAACTCATCCCCGCATGCACAAAACTCAATATGACGGTTTCTGGAAAGCACCACCAGCATGCGGGCATGACTAAAAGCTTGGTAGTAGCCGACTTCGGACGACACTGTGCAACCGTCCTCAAGCATTTCCAGGCAAGCACATTATTCATGAAGCGCCTGATCTTGAGGACATGTTTTGCTTGATGTTCCATCCGAAATCATGGCATGGCTTGGCAGCCTTAAAACTTGAACGCAAAGGAAATATACTTGACCGAAGCTGTGTACAACACCAACATGGGCTGTTAGAAGTTCAATGTAACTGCATGCGGGTTCCGGCAATCTTGCTTTCCGTTTGCCGGATTGCTTGCTTTCCTAGCCAACCAGTTATGTTCACTACCTTGAGCGAAAGAGGTCTTGCGAAAACAGCACTACTGAGAGCAAGACACAACCGCATCACCCTGAGGGCTATCAAGAGCAAGATGCATCGGAGCAGCCCGTTGTGAGCTCAGCTGCCAGAAGATTTCGGTCGTGTCTCTGTCAGTGACGACGAAGGCCACGCCCCAAAGCCCGGCAAGCCATGGAGTCTCAAGCAGCTCGGTGCCGGCCTTTTTTCATGTTGGATGGCTTCTTGTCCAAATCGTGCTGACTCAGGAAGGGACCCCGAGCGATATGAGGAAGGCCAAGGGACAACCTAGGAAGAGCGGGCGAAAGAGCAGCAAAAATCCGAAGGCACCTCGGATGAGCGATGTGAAGCAGCAGCCCTACCTTTGTCGTGTTGCCATGGTACCGGAACCTCCAGCCCTCCGTGAAAGCTGGGCATTTGGCAGGAAAGACAAGGGAGAGTTGCCAGCTGTTGCTGGTGCAGAACGGAGGCAGCATGGGTTGCTTTCCACATCCGTTTGGCACTGAGCCGGACACCAGCTGCAAGGCCAGCTTCGGGGAGTTCTGCTCGGGACTCTCTGCGGAGCCCACAGGGCACAAGTCCTCCTGCACCGGGCGTCCCGCTGTCATGTTTCCTGCGCTGCTGTCTGCAGCAAATCGGCTCGACGATGATGATGATGATGCTGCGAAGAACCCTCATTTGCATAACTGCTTCTGGCAGGTCCAGTCGACAGTGGATCAGGTCGAGGCAAAAGCACGGTGCCGAGTTTCTGGCGGCCGTGTTTTTGCAGTGAATTGACGAGTACTTTCGGGCATTTGAGAATCGCCTGCTCGGACACATGTCGCTTCAATGGCCGCAGTGAACAATGCCTGCGTCTATCAAAGCTTCGAATATCGTTGCTGACAGGGGTTCGAAGCTTTGAGCGGCTGGTTTCCCTTTCCAACGATCGGGATTAGGCCTGCCTGTGTGGGCGTCTACCATGTAAATGTCTCTAGTGGACTCATGTCATGTCAGTCGCTTTTCGCGAGATGCTGTAAGAATGCCTTGACTGAGGTAAATGCCAGCACTGCTGGAGAGTGGGTGAACAAACTGAAGGCCAGGCACCGGTTGCCGTGGCGAGTCTTCGAGTCTTCTACCACGGATGCTGTGCTCAGGCGCTACAGGATGTGGCCGAGGAGCATTCCTCGTGCGCCTGAACTTCCTGCCTGTTTGAGCGGTCAAGTTGACTCCAACGCGGCATTGCCCCCGCCAAGAGCCTTCAAGCTTTTTGATGCTCACCCCAAACGAGTCCTGATGCTCATGAGGCTAGACAAGTTTCTCGGCAAAAGGCTTCAAGTAACCAAGCCAGCCATCTTAGCCAGCCAACGCTTTGTCATGGTGTGGCAAAACCACAAAAAAAAAGAAAAGTCTTCGGACGAAAGCTGGCAGGGAGGGTCATCTGCTCCGATGTTCAACCCTCCGGAGGGCACGAAAAAGCCCTGGTAAATGCACATGCCGAGTTGTCCTCCGCTCCAGCGACCAGACCAAGGGAAAGCGGGCTCCGAAAGAAGGACAAGATATGTCTACCGAATTAGGGCGGCTGCTGTTGCTAATGCTGCTGCTCCCGGTTCCAGAGGATTCCAGGGCTGCAGTTTCCCATAGGTGAAGAATGGTGAAGACGCGGAACCCCAGCTCACGCTGGGAGCTCTTGCTCCTCGTTTCGTCTGGTACCGCTGCAGCTGCCACTGCTCCTCTCGCCACAACCATCAGTACCACCGACGGCGATCTGCAACTAATGCTTGCAGACGCGCCAGGCAGGATTATGGGCCACGTGGAGGACATGTTTCCCGAGGCTTCGATGGACTCACCTGTCTGCTCCATTCTGCTCCCAGCAGCTTGTCTTTGCTGCGCTTCAATCTTTGAAAGGCGCGAGAGTTCTCCAGTTCGACCAAGTCCAAGATTGTGGCCCCTTTTCTGCCAAGATTTCTGCTCCTTTGGGGGCCTTGCATGGGCGACTTCCGGCGAGGGTGTTTTCCTTTACAAAGCGTCTGAGGACGAAATCTACTTGCAGCTTGAGCTGCAGCGGTCCCAGCGCGTGCATAGTTTCTTACGCCACTGGGCTGGCGCTGCCAAGGAGCCGGGAGCTCCTGGAGCGACATGCCCAAGGCACAGTTGGACCACCTTGCAAGGACGGTCTTTGAATGTAGTGCCGCCATGCGCAGGGCTCATTGGGACGGACTTGGCCGAGCTCAAAATGATGAAAGCAGAGTGCGCTGGCCCGAAACGGCTCTTTGCTGGCTGTGCGCCGGCTGCTTTTGCGCAGGTACAAGCGACTGGATGACAGGTTGGCGAGGTGGGCGATGCTGGGCGATGGTCTGTTCTACCTGAGTTCCGCGCAGGATGAACAAGCTGTTTGCGAAGGAGGTGAGCAGTCTTCGACTCTCGGCTTTCAAGACTTCGGGCCTTTGCCTTTGAGGGTGTGGCTTGTGACGAGGAGATTTACTCCAGAAGAAGAAAGAGGCAGGTGCTGTGGGCTATGGGCCACGCAGAAGTCCGCTTTAAGCTCGCGGCAGTCAGGGTGTGGGACCGACTGCTCCACCCAAGAGCAGCTACGAACCACTCATGTTCATGGAGCCCGTGAGGTGCTTGGTTTCCCCTCTTGTCCGCGCGAAGCATCGCGAAGCCATGTTCGAAGAACACACGAAGCGTGCCTTCCGAGGCTCAGCGGGGTTGGTTGCTTGGTCTTCTCGAAGAGAAGCTGGAGGCGTGGCTTCTCACGCAAGCTCGTCTTTTGGAGCTTTCGGGAATTATTGTTTGCCGATTTGAACTTGGTTTTGCATCAGGGTGTTTAAGGGTTAAGGGCCTTGCTCCTGATATATACCAGGGACCTGAGCTTCAGCAGGAGCGAGGGGGAGACACCCCCTCCCCTCCCCCGCCGGTTTTCATTCTGCCTGAGTGTTCCGCGTTCACCGCAGGCTTCTTTTCCGATTTCTGGTTGACAAGCATAAGCATCGACGAGTTTGTAGGAGGTTATTGAGCAAGGACGGGAATGCGTTTTGGCCATGCGTTGTTCAGTGCAGGCTTGGGTTTCCTGACTGCGGACACAGTTTTGCGGACACACGTGATTGGATAGCAGCTTGTCTACCAGGTGGTAACACGGCATACAAGGAGGAATGCATGAATGACATTCACTGACCGGCCCACGAGCTGTTGTCTTCTCTGCTCTCAAGTCTACAGAGTCTACAGTCTAGACGTGCGTTGCTCGGGACGTCACCGCTGCTCATTGCATCTCCCGGTTCTGCAAGTTGACACTCGGGATTGACAAGCCTTTACACAAGCAACAATGAGTTCACCAAGAAAGGAAGTGCCAATGTGAGGGGCCACCAAAGTTGTGGCAGCCGATTGCAGCCATGGCACAGCCATCAAGCTCGGCAGGTTGGTTCTCACACTGCTAGAGTTGGCATCGCACCGTCTGGCCAGCACATGTGCAGATGAGTCAGGCGCGGGACCCTTGTTTCGAACCCGCCCTACAAGCAGCGTGCCGAGTGACGGCACTGTGGCTGACATCTTGGACGCGCGTGCCAGACGTCGAGAGGCATGACCTCATTGCCGAATGCACAATTACGCCCTTTTGTTTGCAGTGCTTCGTTGCTTGCAAGAGGCCTACAACTCCCGAAGGAGCAGCTGTCCACAGATTCCTTGCAGGACATCCGTGGTCGCAAGTGTCACAGTGACTCAGATGTTGGATTTGTTGGTCGCCAGCCACTAGGGCATGTAGCGATGTGATCTCATTCATGCGGAATTGGCACAAAGGTGCGAAAGCAAGCTGCCGGTGTATGCTGGTGTTAGTATTTCCTGAGCTTCGGGCCCGTGGCATCCCACGTCCCATACAGAGCTTTAGGCCGTTGTTGTCCTTGCAGCGGCAAGCCGCAGCAAAGAGGAGGAAGCACTCCAGAGCGCAAAGCCCGCTCACGCTCCGCATACTGCAGCACAGCAAGCGACTGCCGTCTTCATGATTCGGCTCAGCAAGCTGTGGCAATCGCACGCCACTGGCACTACATGCACTACAGGTTCGACTCGCACCGATCGCTGCACGGGACCCCAAAGACCTGTCCCCCATTTGGAAGCAGTTTGTGCAGGAGCCAAAGTTCGCTCAGTATAGTGGAAGTTGCTGCGGTCTTACGCTTCTGCTGAATTCGTGGTGTAGCTCGGATGTGCATCTGCATGCGACAGCCACACAGGTGCTTTGCCCGCTTCTCCTTTGTGCATGTATGCTCGATGCTCAGTCCTCGGGACCGCTACGTAGTGCCAGAATCACAGGCCTTGGCCACGATTCCTGCGAGGCTCCGAGCCATTTTTCATCTTCTTTGGACTAGCCTGACAGGATTGTGGCTTCGCTCATCGATTAGTTCTTGTGAGAGTCACCAGCGTTAAAGCACACGCTTCAGGTTGCACTGCATGATGCACCTACACTTCCTGCTTGGAGCTGTGGCAGCTACTCGTCGATCCAAAGTCAAAGCCCCCATAGGCCCTGTCTCGGGACTTTTGCTAGAACATGACCGATGCAGAGGCTTTCGCAGTGATTGCTGCTGCTTCTTGGCAATTGTGCACGGAGGTTGGGCTGTGTGTAGTTTAGGTCAAAGGTTGCCATTGATCTGCGAACCATGCCGCAGCGTCAGGTTCAGGCGCCTGCACCGTCCGTGCATGTCGAGCTGCCCTCAGACTTCATATTGAGGCCTTGGAGCAGGCAGCGAAGCATTCCAGTTTCGATTGATGCAGAGGTTTGTAGAGCCGAGTCGCCTGCGGCTCTGCAGGTGCTGCTTCTGCTTCGTGCTTTAGCATTGTCCGTCCTACAGCAAGCAGGTTCGAGACGTAGCGCGAACCCTGAGTACGTCGATTTCGCAGGCGACCCAGCTGAGTTGTCAATGCATGCCAAGCCCAGACCCAATCCGAGCAAAAACAAGGCTGAATTGGGCGTGGTTGACCAATATCGTGACCGAGTGGGGTCCCCGCTGCGACGGGAGCCGATGACAAAGGCTTTGATAGCCTCTCTGCGTTAAGCCTGACGGTGCAAGGTTTGAGCATCGAGTTTCACAGCTGCTGTTACGTGGCCAGTGCCCGCGAGCATCTCGGATGGGTCGGGCACAGTCAACGCCACTGTGTGCCAAATGTCTTAGGTACCGCACTCCTGAGGAAGCACGAGAAGCTTGTTTGTCTCGCAGCAACCTTTCCTGGTCTGGCAATGCACACTCGTTAGACCTGCACACTTGGGGGCCCTGTGCGAAATGAGGCCCTGATTCGCTGGTACTGCGCCGGGCCAGCGACTGCTCCACCCTGCGCTGCACAGCTTAACTTGGCTTAAAGTCTCAAGCCTGGCCTTCGGCCATTGAATCCAGGCAAAGCATACTACGACGGCCAGAAGCAGGTTCATCCAGTGAGGTGCTTACATCGGTGTACATCAATGTGAAAGCCGGGCCATCTCGAGTTCGATTGGCATTACAGCTATCAGGACAGGCTACGACTCCTGCATCCAGCTTGCGACACAGAAGTCTTGCAGGCAGTCGAAGCTGATGCTGACAATACTTCTGTTGCTGATCCTTGTAGCCACATCAGCTCGGTGCCACCGTGACATGCGCTCGCTTGAGGTGCAGTGTGTTGCACTGTTCAGGCGTGCAGCGTCGCTCTGAATCTGGCCTTTGAGCACCGGAGAGCTGAACTTGGCTGCCCCGCCCGCTAGTGAGCTAGTGACCGATGCGATGCAGACTTGTCGCGGCAGACACAGCGTGCACTTAATGCTTGTGCGACCATTACATGACATGCGCAACGATTCACGGGCTGCGCGCAGCATGGCAAAGCCGAGCAGGCTCTCTTGGAAGCGAATCCTGGCATCGAGCGAAGAGTCAACACCGCGGAGCTCGCACGCCTGCGGGAGTGCTGACATGCGCGCTTTTGCGCTGCTCAGCCCGGATGTCACGAAAACTGGCAGCCTTTGCTGTTCCAGGACCTCTTCAAAAAAGAGGAGCAGAGCTCGTTGGAACGGAAAGTTGTCCAGCTCTGAGCCTGACGGACATGCGAATCCTCGCAAAGTCTAGGCTTCAAGTCGCCAGGCCAAACTAAACGAGGAAGATCAAGCAGCAAGGCCTGGCAGCCTAGCATCGCTCGACCTGTGAAGCGAGCTGCGGCCACAGGAAGCAGATTGCTGTCCTGGAAGCCTACAACGAGAAGTTGAAGCTGGAGATAAGAAAGGCATCCCAAGCCTCTGAGTGGAAAGTTGATGCAAGGATGGTTCTGATTGTGACAGATTGATGATAGCGGCTCTTCGACTTCAACATTGGTGGACCCGCACCTAAGAGCAGCACCACATTGGACTTTGCCTTGCCTTCAGCGCCTCACGGCTACCAGACTTGAAGTCTGCGAGAGCTTACAGTGGCTTACAGCTCGATCATCTATTTGAGACTCCTGACGTCGGAGGGAATCCTCAACAAGTAGGCCAAAGCTGAACTCGAACGGCTCGAACAAGCCAGAGACGACAGTGCACCCTCCCAGTTCCCCCAAGAAACAAAAAGCTGGCAGACAGAGTAGCATTCCACAGCATACTTGTTTTGTTTATAGTGTGTGTGTGTGTTTGAATATGTTTAAATCATGGCAGTGGCAGTGTGCATGAAGCCTTCGTGGTTCTCTTTTGTCGGCGAGGACGGGCTAGCGCCCGAGGGCAGTGCAAGCCTCCTGGTCGTGCGCCTTGTCTGCACGAGACAACAGCCAAGGAAGGGGGCATGTCCACACCGTGCATAGCCAAGGAAGCAGACTTCTGGTTCGAGTGCAGCAATGTCACCTCCTGCTGGCAAGCCCAAAACTGGTCGGCCGAAGAGGCTGGGCACGACGAGCTCTGTATGTCCGCCCACGTTACGCGTGTGCGCACGTTGAGTGTTCTCCGCAACCTGCCCGGGAGGGACTGGGAAGGGGGGGCAGGCATGGGCAGGCATGCTAAATTCAGTCTCGGATGATTTTCTGTGTTCTCAGGGGCGCAACCTTCACAAGAGCTGGCTCTGGTGAAGAAGTTGCAGCTCAGGCTGGGATCTGACGCCTGAGATCCTGCAGCTTGACCCAGATTTGCTCGTCCGTACACTCGAAGCCCCTGCAGGCGGTGCCTGAGTGCTTGCAACTCCCCGAAGGCTCCTAAGGAGCCTGTCGGCATTGCCTCGGCAGTCCAAGACCACGCCGTTCCAACAAAACTGAGTTGCAGCTGTCAAGCATATCCTAGCACCTCAAGTGTGAAGGAACACTAATCCAGCTTCATGAACCACACCGCTCATTTTCCAAGTGCGGGTCAGCATGAGCTTCAACAATCTTAACTTTGAGAGAGCTGGCGAAGTGCTGGCCGGTGCAAGAAGCACAGCTTCAGCTTCAGCTTCCACAGGTACGCCTCCCCGCAGGCACCGCTCCATGCTCGCCAGAACGCCATAGAATGCCGGATCCCTGCTTTGACCACTGAAACTCGCGCGGCCAGCCCTTTGCTCGCCAAGGTTTGAATCATTTTGCTTTGAACTGGGCCTTCCACGAGCCAAAGTACCTCGCTTGGACTGGAGACACGGCAGTGATAAGAGCGTAGAGTGACAGACGTGTTATGACAGGTTTCCAGCGCTTCAACCCTTCGCGGGGCAGTACATCGAGGTGCGCTGTCCAAGTTTGTGATGCGGAAACCCTACAGCTTCCGAACAGCACTCATGGCTTTTGCAGAGTTGCTTCACATAGAATTGTTTCGTGCACAGGTGCTCGGCGTGCTCGCGAATGACCAGGATGCCAATGTTCTCAAAGATGTTTGCAAAGGTTTCGTGTGCCTCAGCTGTGACCAGCCAACCAGACTCCCAAAAGTTCGTGAACATCCCCATTTGTCTGAAGGTGTGTCATCGAAAACCAGTGGTCTTGCATCACAGAGCATCTAGCAAACGTGGTGCTACAGCACGGAGCCTACGGGTGAGTGAAATGCAGCCAGCACGTTCCGTGACTGCAAAAACAATCCCCGACAGAGGTACATGCTGAAGGCATGTAAGCATCCTGAGTACGTCGTGCGGGTTGAGGCTCGCAGAAGCGCCCGCAAAAGTTATGCGAAAAGCCCATATTATGACACCGCGAGGCGCTGGAGGTTTGGACTCCGTGCACGAACTCAGCCATGCTTGTTCAGTGCGCTGGAGCCTCGGCCTATCTCGACCTGCCTGGCCCACCTGGGGCTCCCTGGAAACTGAGCTCACTGAGGTTTGGTCGCTGCTGAATGATCTGATACCCGTTTTGTTAGACAACATGGCGCTGAGCTCAACGGGGAGATGAGAAATCCAGATTTGCATGACGCCATGCCGTGGCGAAGGTCTATTCGCAAGCGGACTACTTGGGCTTTGCACTCATTTTTGCGAAGTGTGTGCTGTGTCTCTGAGGTTTAGAAGCTTCCTTCCTTGCTTCAACCCTCAGGAATGGACAACGACATCTTTGAAGATGACAATGCAGCAGCACTGGCCTGAGCTGCCTCATAGCTTCCCACGGCAACTGGGACGCCCATGTGCATTCCCATAGCATCTCAGGTCCCGGATGATTCCCAGGACGAGCTGTTCCGGTAATGCCAGCATCAGACCAATGAGATGTGGCCGGCAGGACATCAGACCTCGAAATCACAAGGTGTTGTTCATCCCAGCTTGGCTGCAAGCCTGCTGAACTTCTACCCTGCCTTCGACTTGAAGTGAGGCTTTTCAGAGAGAGTGGTATGCAGCGAGCTGAGGCTCAAGAACAACTTCGCAATACAGCTCCACTCAGCTTGATGATGTTTGGCTTGGTTAACTGGTAACAGCTGTGCGGGAAGGAAGAAAAATTAAGGCGTGTCATGTCCAACCACCGCTCACCGCTCAAACATTTCACGGAAGTGGTTGTGTTGCAAAGCCGAGCCTTCCGCATGTCGACGCAAGAGCAGTGACCTCTGCAGCAGCCCCGGGGCGGGGACTGCAACTGGTGCATGGGATGGGAAAGCGGCGCCTGCCGCTGAGGCATGTGCGCCCATGGCGAGGCGGAGCCGAGGACGGGGCGACTCCGGGGCCGAAGCCCCGAGGCCGACGGCTCTGAAAGGGGGCCAGCGGGGCTGAGTTGTCGAAATGTCGAAGAGACTCGCAGAAGCTTTTGCTCAAGTTAGTAGAAGACCCAGTCATGGCAGCAGCCGCTGCCAAGCAGATAATGCCGCCGATCTCAAGTTATCGAGGGTTACGGGCACGTTCCAGCACCTTGCTGTGGGCCAAGGTCTGTTACAAAGAGCGCTGCAAGCCGTCTTGGCACGCTCATGGCAAGACACAGCGATCCCAACGCCATCGGCGTGCGAATCGGCCTGAGGCAGTGCTTGAGCGATGATTCCATGGAAGCACTACCGCAACACTTGTGCAGGCAGAGAGGCTGCAACGGCATGTCGTATACCATGGATCTTGTCTCAGCCGTGGCGACGGTAGCTGATCCTGCGTACGCAGCTGATGTCTCGCTCACGCCGCTCACTCCGGCAAGGATTACACCGACAAGGTCAACAAGTTTGACGAGGCCAGCAATGCCGATTCAAGTCGGTCGATAAAATGACAGTACAGACTCTGAGTCTTCCTAGGTTGTGGAAGCTGATGGAGGCATTAAAGTCGTAGTTGACTCAAAGGCCGTGTGCGACCAAGTGCCCAGGGCTCCGAGACACATGTGTGCTCTTTGTTTCTCAATTTGCTTGTTTTCGGGCCCCCTGGAAACTGCGTCTCAGGTTATGTTCCTGATAGGCACGGAGATGGACTTCGTGAGCAACGAGGTTGGCAACGAGTTACTGCCTTATGGCCTGGAGGGTGCAGCCTGCCCCGATTGCATGTCATGGAGACGGCCTCACCAGATGGTGCACTCAGGTTCGTGTTTAACAACCCCAACAAGAAGTCAGAGTGCGGCTGCGGGCAGAGCTTTAATGTTTGAGGAGGCTGGAGCTGCTGAAAAATCGAGTCTCCCTCTCTCGTTCTCTTTACCCTCTTACTGCTAGGCATGACAGGCAGTCACATGGATTGGAGAGCACGACGCAGTTCGGTTGTGAGGTCGGCCTTGGAGCATGATGCCTCCGCGATGCCACCTGTGTCGCACATTGGCGCACTGTACAGGGTACTGACTCGTCGTTGCTTGAAATCACCGGCATAGCCATTGGTTTCCAAGCTCGGCTGCCTGACAGAAGTCAGCCCGAGAGTCAAGACACAAACTGGACCGCATCTGCAAAAAAACATCGGCATGGCAGAGTCGGGCGTCGCCCTATGTCGCCTCCTTGATCCTTGACGTTTGGCCAACATCTGAGCTCACGTCCAGGGCCAAGAAGCTCCGTGCGGCGGGCCAGCAACAGGCCCGGGAAGCTGCACAAATTGCCTTTGCTAGTTTCTGTATTACTAGCGTAATGCTGTCTCAGCACGCGAGAGTTGTGCTTGTCGATGGTGTCCTCTCGGTTTCGCAGCCGCGACTTGCGATATGGCCTGAGATGGAACAGACTTCTGCGGCAAGAGAGAGATCAGCCACCTGCAGTCATCAGCAATTTGTCTAGAATCACACAGCATCACAATCCACGGGCAGCAGATTCTTGGACCTAACACTGCTGGGCATGCATCCGTCCGCGAATGGCGGCAGCACGAGAACAAGGTGCATCGCCACACTTACCAACCTGGCCTTGTGCTCCGACGCTTGTAGGGGCAATATTGTGAATTTGTCGCCCTGGTTGCACCTGCAAGTTTTGACAACGACGCACCGCTGTCCGACAGAGGCCGTTGACGGCTCGAGCCTTTCGTTCATCTTTCAAAAGAAGCCACTCGCAGAGCTGTTCATTTCGAGTCGAGGAGGTCAGCAAAGCCTTGTGAAGTATCAGCAAACTAGCAGCGGCCGCTTCATTGCAGCCATGGTCATACCTATTCCAGGAGGCGCAGAAACAAATTTAACCGCTGAACGAGTTCCGCCCCTTTCTGTTCTGAGGTATAGGAACGCCTTTGATGGGTCCTCCACCAGCCATCGTCGCCCAGAAGTTCAAGGCATGCTGCTGCGGTTGCCTTCGATAGCTTGTCCACACGATCTGCGCGCAGATCATCAAAGCCTGCATTGTGATTATGATCGTGCATCTGGTTTGCACCTGGGGCATGTGCAACATGTGATTCCAGCTTACTCTTCGTGGAGTGCCTGGTGCACTCAGGTGCACCTGCGGTCAGCTTCTTGCGGGAGCGCTGTTGGGGCAGCTTGCGTCTTGGCTTTGATTCGTCATTGCGCAGCTTCTTGCGGCTAGACCTTAACTGGCACGGCGGCAATTGCCAACCCTAGCTGGAGCTGAGCGATGAAATCCTCAGCCTTGCGACCCGTTACCTAGACTCTACAAGTCAAGCATGTTGCTTGGGCCTACTTAGACTTGGCTCCCGTCGAGGAGGGCAGAGCCTGTCCTGCAGATGGCAGGGGGACGCTACGCAGCAGAAACAGAGTCGGCTGGCCGTAGACCTTCTGCAGCCGTGATCATCCAAAGTACTATGCTGGCGAACTGCAGATGCCTTGAAAGAATGATCGGACATGGCTGCAGCATACTGGAGCAATAGTTTGACTCATGCGTGCAAACAGCAACTCCCGGAAGCATGAGCTGTCGCCATATCAGGGCTCTCTGCACAGACTCGCCTTTGAGCTACAGACCTCGGATTTAGATCCTGAGCGAAACGGGCTGTGATGCATGTCTCCATGAGTGTTCATCTTGGCTTGTGCTTCCAATGTGACGGCGCTTCTCGTTTGGACCCACAATGTCAGGTTGAGGCAGCATCCTTCATCAGACGCGATTCGAAGCTCGCGTAACATAACATCGTGGATACGGTTTGTCCTTTCCACTTGGATGCGTCGGATGACTTCTTTTAGTAGGGTAGCGTCGTGGATGTGGTTTCTCCATGTTTCTCCCAGCCATATTTAGTTACAGCTGGCGACTTGCATGCGTGTTGACTCTCAACTGCCATCTGCCAAATCCAGGGAGACGCGCTGCTGTCATCCCTGAATCTCATTCTGAACACGTTCATCGGTAACCCAGCGATCTTAGATGTATGAGTTGCGACATTTAGTCGAATTTTGGTGGCTTTGCATGCAGGTGTCAAGGGATGCAGTCGAACACAGAACTTGCTTCAGGTATTTGGATGCTGAAGGATGACCCACTCATCGGAAAGATTTTCGACTTTCTGGCGAGGACCGGGCGCAACATTCCAATACCAGTCCTGTTTCTTGCACTTGTAGCGGGTCTGAGCAACAGCTCCCCCGAAGTATCGGGTAAAGATGCTATATCGGCAGCTGACACGACAGACGGCTCCGTCAACAAATCGAAGCCGCAGCTTCAGCGAGAGAAGGAGGGGTGGTATGAAATGTGAGTGTGTGTGTGTGAGTGTGTGAGTTAGAGCAACGATTGAAGTATGCGCAACCAACTCGGAGGAACTGCATTTGGGATGCCTGTGGTGTGAAGTTCCCGGTATTCTGAAGTGACCGAAATGTGTGGAGTTCTGTCAGGAGCTGCTGTGGGACTTGCGCAGAGCAATGCCAGGGAGGCATGACATGCCTCATGCCCTTCATCATTTGCACCCTGTCAGAAGAGGCGTTGCATGTGGGACGTTTCAGGTTGCTACGTAGGTTTTTGGAAGGGGGTTTTTGCAAGACTTGCCAGGCTGTTTTCCTCCTGCCTTTACGAATGAACGGTTTACACGGCTTGATTCGGGGGTCACACAACCTTGGAAGGTCAGAAAAGCCAACTCAACAAGGTCGGCCCACAAAACAGGAATAGTTCCGTGGCGAGCACAGCTGCAACTACGACCAAGAGCTGGAAAGAGGTTCTCCTGCCGGAAGCTGCAATAAGCTCTGGCATGGCCAACCACCATTATTTCCGGCCTGTCCGGAAGCCAAGAGGCAGTTCAGAACATGTCGGTGCACCACGGGCGACTTCTGGCACTGCTGGGCCACCTGCTGTGGCACCTTGAGATGGATCAGACCGGAGAGTCGAGGAGAAATCCGACGTGTGACTTCTCTCGGTCTTGGCCCGTACATGCCGGTCTCTGGAGGTCCGGAGGAGCTTCTTAGTCTTTTTTGTTGATGATGCCCGGAACAAGCACACAACTTGTCGGCGCCCCTGCCGCAGCCGACACAAGGCCGAACCCCAGGAGTGAGAGTTTTGGTTTTGATACCGGAGAGCCCTATAGAGGCCTGAGTCGTGCAACGAAGCGGTGGCCTTCGACTACAGGAAAATCACCGGGTCTGCGCTTGGCACATCTGGAAACTCTAGCATTCTGAGGTTACAGCCACAGTGCGAGACAAGCAAGAAACATGAGGGGCAAGCATGTGTGGTACTTCAACTGCGCGATATCGCTTAAAGCTAAAGGGTCAGCACGATCCGTCGGCGTTGTTTGCGCGCTGAGGCAATATCATCACGGTGTTGCTCCAGATCATCCTTTCGTCAGAAATACAGCTTCTGGGCCTTGTCGTACCCGTTGCATGAAAATATCTTGATACACCCCGTCGCAGCAGTGGAAAAGCTCTGCATGTCTGATGCGATGGTGATTCCAGTACGATTTCTGGCCTTTTCAGTGCTCTTGCAAGGCTCATCATCCGCGATTTTAAGGTCATGCTGAACGCGGTATCATTTTATGCCACTTAGCGAATCGAGGTGTGATGACACTTCAGATTTTGGTGTGTGTTTCAGCCGCTTGCCAGTCAAGGATGCATTCCGTGTGTGGCTCCTGTTGGTGTCGACTGTGGGAGCGCTTCTGGCACAAATAATCGGATCGATCTACGGCTATCTGGCATACCGAGAGGCCAGGGACGAAAAACGCTGGTGCACAGAGTTTACGGTGGTTGGCAGCTAGAGGCAAGCAGAATCTAGAAGTTCGAGCACGCACGAAATGATTCGGTTTGCGAATCTTGCCGTAGCAAGGAACTCAGACTTAGCTGTGACGTCGAGCACATCGGCTCTCACTCAGGTGTGCAGTTTGCACATGTGTAGGAGATGACAGTTTGGTTCGGCTCTAACTTCAAATCCTTCATGTTTCTTTCGCCTCATCCCACTGTTCAGCATTCGATCTCGATGTGTGCAGGTGCGGGATTCTGGAGTTACGATGTCGGGTGGAGACTGGAGCAGTGGCGGCACAGCCTACCCGCAGGCCAGGGACGGGTCACCCGAAGAGCGCAACTCATGCCTTTTTTCTAAGGCGCGTGAGTCACATGATGAGATGCCGAGGGACTCGAGACCAGCCGCTTCATGGCAGCATTCGGGTGCAGTGTTACAAGGGCTTTCGTCCGACAGTGACCGGAGGGACGATGGAAGGGGAGGGAGGGGGACGGGAGGGAAGGCTCGTAAGCCGGTCGTACGACCGACCATGCAAACGCAACTGAGGCGAATTTCCAAGCCTTCCAGGGAAGCGGACAGCGTCTCGGTGGTTGACTCAAATCTTGAGGGTGTTTCACCAAAGTGACAAAAAGATACCATCAAGTGGCCGAGAGGGGCTGCTTCCGCGCAGAGATGCCAGAACAGCGGCATCACAGCTGACTTCGCTGCTTGGGCAGTCACAAGGCACTGTCCAAACGACAGTTGCAGGCAGCCCCACTTCTAAATCCATTCCTGTCAGCCTTGTGCTGACCATAGGCTTTAACGATGTTCAAGAGGATCTGCCAGCTGTCTTCATCGCCGACAACACATGGCCCTGATAAAACCTGCTTGATGCACTGCGGAAGATCTAGAGTCTCGCTATTTCTCGCTAAACAGATTGACGCAAATCATCTGAAAGAGCTTCAGTGCATTCGTGTAGTGTAGCTAACGTGCCAGGCCCCTCGTCGCATCAAAGGCTGAGTCCAGCTGCTGTTCAATCACTGGCCAGGATCCCAGCTCTCCGGTTTTAGCATTGGGCAGTGCTCTGCGAAATTCCTACTCAGGCTGCCTGGTGCATCACGTGCTGGCAAGACGACTTGTAGACTGCGAAGTAGAAAAGGGTCTACAGTGAAGTTCCATTGATTTGTCGCATTTGCGTGCGTTTCAGCCGCCACCTGCGTGCAGTGAGTTGCACCCTTCAGATCAAGCTGTTGCTTATCCGGGAGGATGGCAAAGAGGAGGAGGACGATGACGATGAGGAAGCGGCAAAGTTCGTTCATCCCATTGATGAGGCAAGCGCAGCCACTATAGGCTCGTTGAAGCAGCACTGCAGCACAGCAAGTCGAGTTTTCGGCAAGCTGGGTCTTTTCGCAAATGCATACTGTAGGTTGGTGACCACAACTTAAACGATGACGAGAAAGCCTGGATTCAGCAGGACTCGGATGAAGCTCGGTGCTGAGAGTTTGCATGACCAAGCATATCATCATGAGACTTGTCTCTCGTTGCAGCATGAGGGCGACATGATCTTTCAGCTGGAGACTCTTCCTTCTCTGGACAATGATTGTGACGGAGATGAGGAAGTTGAAACTGCAGGCACCCACGGCCGAAACACGAAGTGCAGCTCCTGTGCTCCGCAAAAGCTTCCTGGCCAGACGGTTTCAACGTGTGGATGAGGAAGTTGGAGGACGCTGCTCCAATGTGTGGCCTTTGTTCAAGGATGTGTGCTTTGTGCTCTGTGGGCCTCTGTAGCAAGCCAGTTCTTTCGGACATCTTCTCGCTTCCACGCATTCATACTGGCTCAAGCGAAGCCCAACCGGTGGGCCGAGCACAATGAAGAGATTTCTGCCTCAGACTTAGCACGTCGCTTCCACTCCGATTATCCCGAACCAAACATGCTCAATGTGTGGCAAATGTGTGCTTAGATTCGATGTTAATTAGTAGCCTTAAATGTCTGCCTTGGCACTGCCTTCAGATAAAATCTTTCAGCGGCAAGTGAAAGCTGATTGCGACGGATTCTGCGATGAGTTCGACAGACAACTTCTTAGCTGTTGGCCCAACCTCTGACTACACTAAGGCGGTCAGGTTGGTTGCTGGTGCTGCTGGCAGTCGCCTAAGTTGCGGCGGAGGGAAACCTTCGGACTTTGAGATATCCAGCATAAAGGACAACCCCTTCTTCGTGTGACGATGAGGCTGTTCCCGCCTGCTCCTTGTCCACCGCAGATCTAGCTGGGCAAGCTCCAAAAAGCAGAGCGCAAAGGCAGACGATGCAGCAATGCGATGTGATGTCCAACGCTCAACTCGCTCCACGCTAGAAGGCTGGAGCTGCAAGCCCAAAAGTACGAGAGAGAGGCAGAAGATGCCGAAGCAGAGGCTGCCGCGTACCAAGCACTCAGCAAACCGACTCGCTCTTGTCCTCACCCCAGCCTTTGATCTAAGGCACAGTGGGCCCGAAGGGCAGAAAATGCCGCAACAGATGCCGGCACGGTGAATGAGAAAGTCATGACCGCCACGAGCCCAGTGAGCCCAGCACATGCCGTTTCTGCATTGCCGTCGCTGCAGGCCATCCGCAAGCGTCCCGTGCTTGACTGGGCAAAAGTCCCAGACAGTTCTCAGCGACTCTGGCGATTGCACGCACTTAGGACTTGCTGTAATTCCAGTTTCAAGCGGGCATGTTTGTGAGGTTCAAGCCGGTGGCCGTTTCAAGCGGCTCTTGAAGGACTGCCTGGCGTGCGCTTCGCCGGCTTGTGGACCGTGTTGGTATTTGCTTTCCTGACAGGATCCGGCACCCTCACAAGCTTCTGAGGTCGCTGGAGAGGCCGTCGCGCCGTATGTCAAGGCCCATTTTGCATCACGGTCTTGCTGCTTCCTCAACATGGGGCCACGGACGCGCAATGTGGGCCAGTGTCAAGTGGTTGGAGGCAGAGCTGTCGTACACGAAATCTCAACTGGACTACACCAAAGCTGTGCGAGACCAAGTGATGGCACGCGAAGCTTGGGCGAATTCTCAGATGGAAGCATGAAGCAGGTCTTCAGTGGGTTCCTGCCTAGGTAACTGCCACGAAGCTTTAAGAACGGTGCCGTTTGAGCAAGGAACGAGTTTGCACAAGCTGAGCTTTGGCATAAGTCTGGTTTTGTCATCGCCACCTACACAAGATCTATTTCAGTTGAGGTAGCTGCACAGCGGTATGATGTCTAACCGCTCAAACTAAACGGATTCAATTGATGAATTCGGGGTTCTGCATTCAGTAAGTCAGTGATTTACACACAGCTTCGTTTAAACATCGCATTGCAAATTGCTTGAGCGACGCGAGCTCCCAAAACACTAAATTAAACGCATCAGTTAAACTTATCATGAGCCATCGCGAGCAAGAGCCGATAACTAATTCACTTATCACGCCCAGATGTCTCAACAGTCTTGCTAACCGTTTAATCAGATTGAGCCAATATCGAAAATTTGGACAGGAATCACTTGTTCAGTTGTAACTTGACGGAACCGAGGTCTTACACCCCTTTCACTGGCGCCCGCTCCGCCTATTCTTTTCTCGATACCCTTGATATCCTTTTGAAGCCTCCTCATTCCTTGTCCATCTCTGAGGCATCGGCATGGAAAGCCGAGGCCAGTGCCACGGAGCAAGCCATGAGAAAGCTGCAGGCACAGCGGCTCGTGGCTTTGTGCGTAGCTTAGCCGGCGATGCAACTTGCCACAGGGCTACGCGGACCAATACAGAATGAGTGGAAGCAGTTCCGAGGCAGATTTCTGTCTTTCTCTCAGCTTCTGATTTCATAACCCATTCCTGGATGCAGAGGCCGCGCTCTATGCCAGGGAGGCCGAGACTCTGGCCAAGCGGGCCGAGGTCCACACGCGGACCGCGGACAGTCATGACTTGCCACAGTCTGCAGCGATTGGAGGATGCGCGAACGACCGCTGCGAAGTATTCAACAGTCGCAGACCGGATTACGAAGGCAATTCCGACGCCTGTCCCTCAGCAGCTACTTGTACAGCCAACCCTCTCAGCATCTCTCCGCATTTGGTACACCCTCTGAGGATCAAAAAGATGGAAGGAATGGCCGCAGCTCGTGCCAGGTGAGGGGAGTGGCATGCGGTGCGGTGCCAATTTTTCTGCTCCATTTTTGCCCCAAGAACTTCGGAAGGTGGGCAGAGCAGCCTTTCCCACAGCTTCAACCCCAAGAGGCTCATCACGCGATTTTAGGAGCCTGTGCTGACTGCCATGTGAATCACTGCAGCTGCCTTCAGAGATTGATTGCCTCCTGTGGTTGTGGTCAGTTGGTGACCGTCACGGTGGCGCCGCCGCTGGCAAGCTGAGTGTGGCCGCGTGCTTGGGATCGGCAATAGGCTAGCAACGCCATTTACAGTGGGCATAGGACATGTTCGCCCTTCTTGCATTTGCATAGAACAGATTCAGATAGAAATAGGGATGCTCAAGATGTCTTTGGTTTTTTGGAAGGAATACTATGCTGCTGTGAGCCAAGACTGAAATTTCTGCTTTACGCCACTAACGTTTCACGTGTCGCCTGATCGCCAGTGTGCGCGAGAAAAATCAGCAGTACATCTGCAGAACCAGGACAGTCATATTCTTGCAAGAAGAATAGAATTTTTGAGGATTTGCGTGACAAGCTCAGACACGAAAGCCGTGGCGACGTTCGTGCGAAGCCTTCAGTCGCTGGAGCCTGAGAAGCAGACTCTGGCAGATGCAGCGCACAGATGGCCTGATCAGCATCGTCAGGGCCGCTGCACATCACATCTCGGTGTCTTTCAAGGATGAGCTTCTTGGGCAATTGCGGCAAGCTCTGAAAGATGGCAACTGGCTGCCATTGACGGTACAGATCTTAGACTGTGCGTCGGTTCAAGTTCCCGCGCGAGCTGGTGCTCAAAGCCCTGAGGCGGCAAGGGCCGTGCCGCGGAGCTCCGATGTCATCAGAGTGGCGGTTTCCTCGTATTGATGTGGCCACTGCGGCGCTCTGCTGCGCTCTGTTTGAGACTCTGAGGTCCGGAACCTGTCTCGGCAAGAGACTTTGGAGACACTGCGGGCACTTGTCGTCTGCATCCCATTACCGTGCAGTCACGCAGCCACATGTGGGGAAGTTCCTCGGACGCTGCGAGGCAAGACACGAGCATCCGCCCGAACAGCCGAACTCCAGCATGTGGATCAATTTTGCTTGCCGCCAAGACAGCTGGGATTCGTTGCAGGTACAGATGACATGACACGTTGCATGTGCACCATCTTGCGCAATGCGCACAAGGTTCTCGATTACGAAGTTCATGATCTGCATGGATCAGCAGAGTTGCGGTCCATTCTCAGGCTGCATCGGCACTAGCTTGTCGGCCTTGTCCAGCTGCTTATGTCACAATCTAGGGCATTCACGTTCGTTGCCTCTCTAAGATCGCCCTGTCGGCTCAAGACATGCAGAACGGCAAGCGGCATCACCCCCAAAATCCTAAACGGGTGTCGCTGCAGGTGTTGACACCGGTAATTCAGCAGCCGCGAACCTGTCATTGAATTGCACGCATGCACTTAAGCCAAGCCTACGAGGAGCCATCCTAAGATTTCGCGTTTGTGATGCAGCTCAGCCGGCCTGGTTTGCGCTGGACAGAGATATGGTGCTTGCCTCGTACCGACAGCATGGGAATGATGATATGTCCTTGGTGCAAGCCTGTCCACAAGCTCCAAGCAGCAACAGACCGCCCAGGTGGCTTCTAAGTTGTACCGTCTGTCTTTCTAGTCGTAGAAGGAAGGCCCGGTTCAAGGCATGACATTGGAACCTAAATGTCCCGCCAGCATGCATGTGCGAAATGCTTTGTGGCGATGTGTTCGGGGCAGGATGCAACATGCTGGGGCTGAAGGCACGCTATCTGAGGATGTGGTGAGAGTGTGCTGCAATTGAGGTGCAGTTCAAAATTCTGGGTCCGGGGATTCAGCCGGCCAGTCAGACACCCGCGGCAGCCTCGGCATTTTTAACAAAATGCAGTCACCTTACTGTCTACATCGTGCAGCAGGTCCAGACAGAGCTGCGTATCAACGGCTCAGATGAGGCCTCTCTGCGATTTCCGGACTCCAGAGCATCTAGCGCGATTCTGCCTGCTCCAGCTTTCAGGTGCTGGTGGTGCCAATCGTCACGAGCACAAAGGTACTTGAGCTCAAGCAGCAACTTGCGATGAAGCCGGAAGCTTGACAGTCGCGGAGGTGGCATTGGCAGAGCGGAGAGTGCCACGTGAGTTTTCAAGCAGTGCTGGATCCCACCGGATAGCCACAATGATCCGACAACCATGAAACGGTCCTCAGAAGTCGCCGCAAGGCTCGGAGTGGACCCCGATTCTCTACAGTTCGCCACGAAGGCTGGATGCTCTTGGAGGACTCTTGTGGACGCTGTAGCCGCGACATATGATGTGGCTGGTATCTTCCGCTTCCTGGCACCCTCGTCCTTTGTTTCTGAGTTAAGCCCGCAGTTGGCAGGATGCAGATGGACCATGAGGAGGTGTGGTGTGTTCGATTAGGCTTATCTGTGTGCTGGGTCGTTCATGTTTGCACTTCGTTGCCGCTTTGGAGCACTGGCGCGAAGCTTGCCCTTGCTATGAGGTGAGAAGACAGGTGAATGTCAAGGGCATTAAATCTTTCAAGCCGGAGAGAACAAAGTGCGACGAGCAGCAGTCACAAGCTGCATTGGCTGCCACATGCCCTTGCGCTGACAGGTACGAAGATCCGTTTCTCATCATTGGTGCTGGACATATCGGACTGCGACACGCGCACTGCCTGTTTTAACACAAAGCCGGCTGAAGAAGCTCCGGGTCGGAGCTGGCACGACAATCCTCGACAAGCCCTCATGTGTGGCTGCACGTCTGCTAAGCACAACGAAGTGCATGCAATCAGTTCTGATTGCCAAGCTACTATTTTCCGTACGAAGGGAGGGACCCATGCCGAAAATGCCAGGGCCTTTTCCTGCTGCAGAACGACCACCCAAATTTCATCATCGTTGATCGCAGAGACAAGGCGGGAGAATCTGAGGCCAAGCCCCTTCTGTGCGTTGGTCTTCCAGTGCAGGTCGGCGGAACTTCCTGGATTTCACAGGCCAGAGCTGGCAGACGAACACCGTCGGATGCGTCGCCGTGTCGTGTGGTCAGGCGAACAAGACCTCAAAGCTGCAAACCGAGCTTGGCACGTACCACCTGCAATACGACGAGCAGAATCCGGTGCCACTCCCAAAGTGATGAGTCTAGAGACTTTTAAGTTAGGATTGCACTCAAGCTTGAATGCCTCGCGAAGGTACCCAAAGACATGGCAACCTGGCCCTCACGCGACGAGCTTCTGGATCACTTTGCCAAGGCAAGCTCAATGTGCCAATCTTTCGAGTGAGACTGAGAACGCCAATCGATTACCACAAGCACAACTGGCAAGCTTTGGATCACAATTTACGTTGCCTTAGCTTATGTCATGAAGCATGAGTGCCGCACTCAACCTGCACAGGTGTCGTCCGAATACGGACTGATGCCGTACATTCAGCTGGAAACGAATGCCCCATGCTGAGAGTGATTTGAGTATGACTGGAAATGCAGTTGTAGGTTGTCTCTACCAACACGACAGTCGTTGCTCTTGAACCCTAAGGCCAGATATCATATACCAAATCGCTCAGTAAAATGCGATTCGAGCACCAAGCAAGATTCAAGCCCCGGGTCGAGCAAGGTTTAGGGCTTAGGGCTTTTTAGGGGTCTAAGGTTTGCAGAATCTACAGAACCTAGGGTTTATAGCATCATTTCAGAATCTTTGTTTTAGGAGCCCAAAGTGCCTTCGGGGTTGATGGTCCAAGAGTTTATAGGCAATTTATAGGGCTTTAAAACAGGTGAAAAGAGCCTTCAGAAGCTTTTGGGAGGGATTTAGCAACTGCAGTTACGAAACTACTTGCATCGATTCAGAAATCATTTCGTCCTTTTCAAGAAACTACCGCCACTCAGAAACTGCGGTTCAGCAAACTATGGTGCACCGATTCAGAAACTAGAAAGTGGATGCCCCGCCTGACTTAGAAATCCAGAAACAAAACCCATTTCCAAACAGCCGAAGCGGGACGAGGATGGCAGAAGGAGGGATGAAGATGGCGGCGAAAGATTGTTGAATGCCCCATGGGATGGACAAAGATTCCGATGGCATGGATTCACACAATAAGGCGCCTCTCGCCTCGCAGAGGGACGACAGTAGATACCCTCCGCGAGAGCATTGTCCTTGCCTTTCAATTTTCTTGTCATCGAGCTGGCCAGCATCCGCGCGTCCTTAAGCTCTGGGGGGTGGAAGCCTCGGCCCAGGCCCGTGGAAACGTCAAAGAAGAAGCCAACACCAGAGAGTTCTTTTCTGAGATGATAAAGACTGAAATTCCCCGCTCACGCCTTGCGAGAGGGAGGAGAGATAAGGATAGTGATGGCAGATTGTTCACCCTTTGCACCTCGCGAAAAACAGAGGCAAACCAACGAGCCGCCTCGTTTGGCGACGGTGGTTAATCCCATATCTTAGCGAAGCAGTGACACCAACGCGACGGTGACAATCACGGGTACTTCTACCAGTTTCAGATTTGTGTAATCCTACGAAGACCGTTGAGCCGCTTCTCGCATGAAAGTTGTGATGACCGTTATGACTATGGCTGTGAGCATCATAAGATGGTTAAGGAGATGGTGACAGGGGTGCTGATTGTTCTTTCGTTGCCAGCTGATGCGCGATGTTGAAACCGGCTCAACGCGCAGCAGGGTTTGTCTTCTTCATCCTTGCTACTCATCAGGTCACTAGGTACTCCGTTTCAGTCAGATTCGCCATTTGGACAATTCGCAGTATCCACCCGGACCGGCAATCGTCGCTCTCTCGCATGGCCAAAACTTCTCGCTGACACAGTCGGCGCTTGTATTCCCCAGTCTGCTCTTTCAGCAACCCTGTTCCCGAATCCGCGTTCCTTAGATACCGAATCCGGGGACTGAGGTTTTGAATCTTAGGAAATTGGGATTGAGTGTGTGCACAGACAGAAGGGCTGCTAGTGCATGCGACTTTTGAGGTTCCGCGTTTTGTGCATCGGGTATAGGGATGAGGCCTCAGCCTACGGCCTAGCGGTTCTGATGTCTCAGCGTGGTTACAAGCGCAAATCGGCCTGCTACCAGTACCGAAAAAACTTGACTTGGATAATCTTCCGTGATCTTCCATGCCGCAGGCATGAAGGTCTCCGGAAGAATCTTTCGTGGTGTTGGGAGCAGTAGTTGAGAGTCCGGGAGCCGGCGGATTGCAAACGTTGTTCGTGCATTGCTCTTCGCCCTTACGGTTGACCGTGCATGCGCAGTAGCTTCTCGTAAGTTGAGACTGAGTTCAGTCAAGAGGAGAAGGCTAGCTAGCAGCAGTCGATACGAGACCGAGAGAGGTGAAAGCCATCACCGTGAACGGGAACAGCTGCGCACACGGACCCTTGGAAGTCAGCCTGGAAGCAACACAGCCATGCGGCCACGGTTTCCAAAGGTTGCCGAAAGCTAGGAACGAAGCTGAACGTGCCAGGAACTACACGGGTGTTCTTCCTCCAGAGCCAACCGGGAAAGGTGCCGAAAACTCAGACTAAAGAGGCATTACATGATAATGAGTCAGACAAACCTTGATGCATTGAGGTCAAGCAGCTGAGGGTCAGCAGCGTCTTCATGTGTGCAACTCAGTCGAGGATGCGGAGGGTGTCGTGTTTTGTTTAGAGCGTTAGAGAGTTCAACTAACTGCGGGTGGGCTCGGATCGCCAGATATCGCCAGGAAGACTGGCCCATCGTGAGTGTGCACTCCCACGCACGTGGGGTCGGTGGGATGGCGGAGGGAATCCTTTAGTCGGGGCACGTGGCATTCACGGCAGTGTGTTGCCAGACGTGTCCACGTTGTGCTTCACAACATGCTACGTCGACGGAGCATGCAATACTTGCACTGTGCAAGTTGCCTGCTACTGTAGCCGCGTAGCTGATGGTCTGTTAGTCGACCACATCGGACCACAGATGAAAAGAGAAGTGAATGCGAAGGCCAGCTAGGTGGCCAGTGGCTTTTGACAGGTACTCTTCGTCAAACGGAACCTTGCCTCGAGTTCCCAGTCCTGCCAGGGGTTGTTGGTTCAGTACCGGTGCGGCGTTTCCAAGATACCCTGCCCGGGTCGGCTGCCATCTGGGCTAAATCAAACTTCAGGTTGGCCCGAAGAAGCTGAGGTACCCAGGAAATCTTTCCTTTCCTCGACAAGATACATACCTCGGCGAGGCCAGGTCCAGAAGTCCAGCACCGGGAGCCGGGCAGCCCTACCTAGAGCTAGAGCTTCTCAGAGTTGCCAGGACCTCTTCGGGGGCATGATTGAGTCAGCACCTCGGTGGCTGACGAATGGACACGTTCTGAAGTTATTTAGCCCCTGAAGATATGCGATGTTCGATACCATCGATTACGACCAGGCCAACCCTCCGGTCCTGGTTCAGGCAATCTCATGCGCATGACACGGATTCCACCGACAGGCAGCCCGCGGAAAGGATGTCATGATCGCCGGTCATGGAGCCTTTGGAGTGGAGAATGTCGCTCTCCGAGAAGATTAAGTTTTGTTCGTGCTATGCCTTGCACGGGGACCGGCCTTTCCTTTCAACCTGCGTGGCCTAGATTCGGACTTGCTGCGAGTTCTCTGCCAAGCGGATCTACATGGTTTGCCGCAGGACTGCAGTTTGAACATGTTTGAACGTTTCGGTCTGTCCACTCACTACATGATGCACCAGCATCGCATCCAGGGGGCGAACCACTGAAACTGCACGCTTGAGCCATCTGAGACCCGGAACAAGATAGAACAGGCGACAAACATGCTGTGGCGAGAGATCGGAACATGTGATTGGGTGGTTCAGCCATGATACTAGAATGGGGGACTGTACGGAGCACAGCCATGGTGGATGGAGCGATGCAGATTTGCACGTGCCCTTAAAGTTGGCGATGGATGGGTGCAGTCCGTCCTTGTAGACCCATGGGGTGCAATCCCCAGCTTCGTGCCACGGCTGAACTCGCAACCTTCTGTCCCATGAAGTTCGTCCAGACTTTTTGCTCATTGCGAAATCTACGTTGTGTCCAAAGCCCTTCGTTCAACAACAATATAACAATTCTGCTACTTGCTACCGGTATGAGTAGTAGCTGTAGCCATACTCCTCCCAGGACGAACCTGGCCTGTCCACGCGTGAGCTCTTGGCAGCTTACCTGCATGTCACTCTGAGCTCAGTCAGCACGCCTTGAAAGCAACGCCCTGGCTTGGCTTGAGGTTCTGCAACCAATCACATCCCGCCATTCCGGGTGGCGCCCTCAAGCAAACGATCCTCGAGTTTGATTCCTTGTTTGGTGGTCTGCAGCCTCCCTCTTCCTCGAAAGCATGGAGCCGGCTTACAAGCCGGGCCCCCATTGTTGGGACCTGCACCAGATTGAGTGGAGGGAGGGATAGGGAGGGGCTCTGGCACCAGGCTTATTGGCTACGACCCGTGGCACTGATCTGAGACCACAGCTTTGCAAGAGAAGTTGCAGTGATTCATACAGTTGTTCGCCATGATAGCTGCTGATAGCCTGGTGGATCCTGGCTTGTCTTGCTGGTGTTCATATGTGAGTGTGGTCCTGGCCATGGGTCATCTTTCTGAGCGCTCAACGGTACGTGACCCCGCCCTGGCACAGGCGAGAAGTGGGTAGCAGCATCACCCTGCTAGCGTGCCACTGTGCAGATGCTAATCTACCTCGTAACAACTGCTCATTTGGCGTGGGTTCTCTCGGCTTGGCGGCAGGGGCGAAATGGTGTAGTCTTCTGAAACGTGGAAAACGCTCCATTTTGTATTGATTTGGACTTCGCGAAAGATCCCCCGCAAAAGGTCAGCACGCAATCAGCAATCAATGTCTTGGGAAGGTCATACCACTCTGTCACCTACAATTCTGCCCGAACGAGTGCACAAATTAGCCAGAAAGCCGGAGGCTCAATGTGAGTTGTAGCGAGGTCTGCGGTGCAAGCGAAAGTGCAGAGGCCAGATTTGGCATCGGCGATGTTTACTTCTTGGCCCTCAGCATGGGCAAATGCGAAGTGATCGTCGATGAGGCCGGCAGAGGTTGATAAAGGTGTCGCACAGATTGCCATGAATTGCTTGAAATGCTCCCTTCAAAGAGCTGCAAGCCGGATATAGGTGAAGAGACTCTCGGAAGGGCGCGTTCACCTCCAGTCCGGTCGAGAGTTGTCAGTGCGCCCATGAGGCAACTCGGGCAAAGCTGGCCGCTAATATTTCGCCGAGATTGTTGAGGTACAGACGATTCTGAAAGTGTTCGGTTTCGTCGGCGACCAGGAGGATTGGTTTTTGCGGGTCGTGAAACACTCACTGGCATCTACGCATTGCTTTGTATAGGTTGACCGCCTCCTGAAAATCAAGAGCATGTATGGTTACTGGGTGTCGCTCTCAGCCGCCTGCTTGAGACCACGAAGAGCTTCAAAAACAGAAAGCTTGCACAGCCCGGTAGTTGTTTGCGAGTGAGGGAAATGCCTGCAATGCAACGGAAGAAGTCAGCAATATCCCGAAGAAGTCTTCGGGGAACTGCTGCATGTTTCTTCACTGTTCAGTTCAGCCATGGCTTGAAGCATGGCCGCAGCCAAACGCAGGATCTACCAATGCAGGCACATGCAGGCACGCGGTCATCTGATGTGGGCACAACCACTGGCAGGGGAGGCTGACGAGTGAGTGAAAACTCGAACAAGATATTCACAGGAGATGCGGACATTCCTGCGTGGGTGGTCCGGATCTGTAGTGGGCCCGTATGTGATGGCGCAACGGAACACTTTGATGAAACCCTGGTACGGAAGATGCTGCCAAATCACTCATCATGTACAGGGCACACCAGAGCCGAGTGAACTGCGCAAGTCGAAAATCCCAACGGCACCAAGCCAAGTGCAACCAAAGCTTGTCAGCTGGTCAGCTGTTAGCCAGTACTTTCTGCCCACTTGCAGCGCAACTTGGACCGACGGATGACATGTGAATGTGAGAGCAGAGCAAGCAGCGGTTAACACGAGCTTCAGAAGTGCTGCGCATTGCACCGAGGCAGACGCAGATAATCGCCGCTTCACAGCGAGCGAGAATCCAGGTGCGTGGCGCCTGGTCTTGTTGTCTTGGTGATCCTCTACTAGACGTGACAAAGCTGTGGCACAATCTCTCCTCTCTGACTCATAGCACCCGATCAGACAGTATCAGACACTAGATTCAGCAGCAGCCAGCGATTGGAACCCACAAGAGCTGAGACTGAGAAGTCGAGAATCCCAGTTGCCAAGGTCTATGCCAGCAATTTCGGTGGCACTAGCTTGTCTCCCGGTCGCGGCCTCGGATGGCAAAGTGTCTGAAAAGTTGCAGTGCCTTTTGTCCTATCCCTGACACTGGACGGAGGTGCCATATTTTTTACATTAATGGCCGGGGCCGCAACATTGAGTCAGCGATGCTGAAATCGTTCGGTTTTCCTTTGACAGGCAAGTCACGTCATGTGGTTTCCCAGGGACTGGCTTGGCCCTTGGAATGCTTGGACCCCTCTTGTTCACGATGTGTACAGCTTTCGCTGCTCAGACGCAGCCGCAGGCAGAGACTCGTTGATTCGGCGCAGTTGCCCACGAACAAGAGAGATGATTCGATTTCCAGGTGCGCACTCTTTTTGGGGGCTGAATCGCACTCGAACGGTCTACGTTGGATCAGGTGGCTTCTTAGTCCGGGTTGCAGGGCCGATAGACAGTTGCTCTGTGCCTCGTAGTAGTCCACCGGTCTCAAAAAGTTAGTATGAGTCCTACTAATACTAGTACTGGGTGCTGGCCCTAAGTCGTTGCGC